GAAGATCTAATCTCTACTTTAGTTTCCTATTCAGGAAAATCTATAGTAAATTAGAACATAGATGGCACAGCTGAAAATCAGATCTTAGATCTTATGAAACATATGACCATGTATGCCACTGCCTACAAAGCAAGTGGAAACCAAAACCATGAGATAGCCAAAGCCATAATATGTGGATTCACAAGATGGCTAAGCGGCTGGTGGGATTTTCATATGGATGAGGAATCAAAAAATCAAATATTAAATATCTCAAAACAATGGATAGTCAAAAGTGAAAATGGCCAAGACAACATAATACACGAAGAGCAGTCAATACGCTGATATATACTATCACCCTCCATTTTATAGGAAGTACTGCTTTGTTTGCAGCAAGATCTGAAGATTTGTTATCAAATCTAAGATGTTCAACACTCTCTCATTATAAATGGTACAAAGATGTATTTTTCTCAAGACTACTATTAAGAAAAAATAGTAAGTCAAACCATTGGAAAGAAAAGTTTATGGCCGGGCTATCACATCTTTTTACAGAAAAGGTAAAAACAAGGCTTAAAAATAAGCATGATGGAATTATTCCTTATCCTCTGTATACAATAGGAGAATTATCAGTCAAAATCTATGCTGAAGGTTTGGCTTTATGTACAGATTTAAAACTTTGGAGACAATTAGAGAAACAGAGAATAACGGGAAGAAAAGAGTTAGGAGATTTCTGCGAACAGTTTGGATATAATATCCTACCCCCTTCAAAGCCTTTTCATAAGGAGAAACATAAAAAATTTAGAAAGAAAAAATTTAGACATTCCCCTAGGACAAAAGAATTTTTTTTCAAATTCTTACGAAATAAACCATATTTCAAAGATAAGGGAAAAAGGAAAAATCCCTGTTTGTTATAATTGTGGCAAACTAGGGCATTACAAAAATAAATGTAGAGTTAAAAGAAAGATTAACTCTCTGGAAATAGATGATAATATTAAAACTCAATTATTTGAAATACTCCAAATAAAAGATGAAACCTCTGATTCTTTTAATTCATAAGATGAAATATTAATTGGAGAAATAAATGATGAGGATACCATTATCAGTAGTTCTGATTCAGACTCTGGTGATGATAATAACCCAAAAGAAGAAAATTGCCAATGTGATTTTTACGAGGCAATAATGGATATGAATGGATTAACAATCAATACCCTTACAAAAGAAGAAGATCTTATCGACAAAATATCAGATCCAGAGGCTAAAAGAGAAACCTTAGTCCAATTCATCAATATGTCTAAAACCCCATCTGAAAAAACCAAGTCTTCTCTTGTCCCAACAAAAGAAGAATATAGTTTTCAAGACATCTTTAAAAGGGTACAAAATAAAACACAGATAGAAAAAAAAACTTCAATATCTGAGCTAAAATATGAAATCAATGAGGTTAGAAATGAGTTGATAGCTCTGAAAGCAAGGGTTCAAATTTTGGAATTAACCCAAAACCCTATAAACGAAAAAATATTCCTTTACCACCCGAGGTTGAAGATACCCTTCCTAAACCTGAAACCTCCAAAGCTGGGATGAATGTGATAGAAAAGGTTCAAAATTGTAAATATGTACACCTAGTAGATAAAATAATAACCCAAAAATGGTTTACTAATATCAAAATTGCAGTTCAAAAGGAATATAGTTTCCAAACCACTGTCCTGATAGATTCAGGAGCTGATCTAAATTGCATTAATGAATAATTAGTACCAACCAAATACTTTAGCAAGCCTACCCAGGTTCTTAATACTACTGATGGCAGTAAAATGCTTATCAATTATAAATTGTCAGATACTACTGTATGCAATAATGGTGTTTGTTTCAAATTTTCCTTTATAATGGTAAAAGGTTTAAGTCAACCTGTTATTCTAGGGACTCCCTTATCAAACATGCTCTATCCAATCAAAATTGATGACACAAGGATAGAAGCTAGTATTGAAGGCCATAAGGTTAAATTCACCTTTAGTGATAAACCTAGAGTTCATGAGATCAATAACATTAAAAATAAGATTTCTTCTAAAGAAAAATTTCTTTATTATTTGAAAGAAGAAATAAAATACAAAAATGTGGAAGAAAAACTATCTCTTCCTGAGATTCAAAATAAAGTTAAGTCTCTGAAAATAAATATGGAAAGAAATATATGTGCTGATATTCCCAATTTGAGGCAGGCTCTAATTTGATTGTTTAGATTCTTGGAT